TTACTGAGTTCAAAGTCTTTATGGCAACATGCAGATTCTTAGGAAGGTAGCTAATCACTTCAGGTATTGTTTTTATTCTTGATAATCGGTGGAGGGGGATATCTACACCCTCACATAGCTCTTACTGATGTGGTCCTCTGGCATTGAGGACAAGGACAGGCAGCACTATGCTGTCCTCAGAGTGCTCTTTTCTGTTCGTTACTGCTGCAGAACAAAGAGAATTATTAAGAGAAGACCATTCTGTTTAAAATTAATTCCATTTAAGCAAGCAGGACGATGTTTAATTAATTTTGTTAAGAGTTGTAGCCAAAAGGATTTGTAAAATGTTTGGGGGCTTAAAGAGATAAAGCCAGAAAGCCTTAGTTACTAGATAATGCAACTAGTCTTAATAACTGATCCCCTGAGGGTTTCTGATAACCAAGCTCAGGCTCTATTAAGAAAATCATCATGAAACTAAAAGATATTTACCAAGGATAAGAAAGACTAGAACTGGTAATTAATCCTTCTCACTATTAAACAGAGATTAGGTCCTCATGGGATTGTTACAAATTTGAGCTCCCATAGTTCAAAATAGATTTTGAAATATTGGAGACAGCCCAAATAAGACCAAGATGAATAACTTAAAAGCTGCCAATTTCTTATAAGGAAAAATGAAACAGTTACTTATTTGGAAAAAGAGAAGACTCAGGAATGATCATTTTTGTTTTCAATCCTATATTAGGACAAGTAATTTAGTTATTGCCTTCTCACAAAACAACTGCATTAGTAGACAGTGTTATGAAGCCCAAGGACAGCATCACTTAAACCAACAGGTGACCAAAGGACAGTGTGAAAATATTAGTTCTGAAAATAGAGTCTTATAGGTTCGGTCAGAGTCTTCCAGAAAACAAGGGACTCCGTAGATGCCACCTTTGTCACCTGACAATGTGTGCAGAGTATTAGACTAAATAATGCAGGAAGAAGAAAAAAATTAGGTATTTTCATGGATAGTCTATTCATCTGTTTTTATCCCAAAGCACCTAGAAGAGGCTAAAAACTGGTGACAGGTAAACAGCCTAGAATCTAAGAAACTGAGAGATGCCACTGTCTTTTTACCTTCACCCATATCCCTCAGATGAGCTCAGTAACATCAGGGAACTTGACCCAATTTGATTTTCTCTTTGTGTCACATGTGACCTTAGAGAATTAAATGATTGAGTGCCACCCACCTGGGAATGGAGAACTACTCTGATGGAGAACGTGTCGGGAGAGTTAACAATAGGTAAACTCATCTAGCACGCACTGTGGGACAGCGCTGTAACACAGCCAGTGTAGGAACCCAGCTTCATGCCTTTTTGTAGAAATGCCTCTGAAAGTAGCCTCCACATGATGTGAAACTGCAGGATGCAGGGAAGGAGTCCCTACCCCCCAGGATGGCCTCTCTGCTATTGGAGAGGTCTTGATAGATTCTGCACTTTATCCAGTATCACTGCTTCCATTACAAATAAAACTGGTCCCAAGAAAAATAACTCACACTGAGAACAGATCATGTGGAAGCAGGTGTGCGTGATGAGCATGACTGACTGTGCCCTGAATCCCCAAAAATTGGGGGTAGGAGGGAGAACAGGAGGGAAGGCAGAAAGAGGAGAGTCTTGAAGACAGACTTTCCTCCATCAGTTTTCCCTCACCTGCTTTCAAAATTCAATACAGCTATTCACTTCTGGTCAATGAAAAAGAATTCTTGATGCACAGGTTAGAACCAGACACCTGGATTTATGAAAGCATGCCAGAATACATGACATAAGTTTCATCTTCCTCTAGAACTTTTGCAGTGTGAATGGAAGTGGAGAAAGGAGATTTGACACAAATGTACTTTGTCTCCATACCTGTAGTAAGGCTCAGTTTCACAAACCATGTCAGGTACCAGGAGCCTACAACAAATCTTGTATTCTGTGGGAAAAACGTTTTTATGTAATTTGATTTGTTTGGTTCTGATAGATAAGAGAGGAAAAGGAGACTTTTTTTTTTTTCCAAAACACTCAGATCATATTTATGCATTGTTTCAGGGCATATTTTTCTTTGTAAATGGGAATGCAAAGGGTTTATTGTTTCTCTGCTCTCAGAATGTTCCAAGCAATAAAAAAATGGATTTGTTTTTTACTTTCCCGGCATTAAACAGGTAAGGCTTTTGCCACATTTACTGAATTTCATTTAACATTAATGAAAAGTGAAGAAAGCAACGCTAGACACGCAAGGAAAATTATTTCTTATTAGAACATTTCTAAAATATCCATTTCTAGTATCACTGTATACATTAACTTTTTCTTAATTGGTGAGCTTGTTATAGATTAAATATATTAAAACCAACTTTTTGCATTTAAAATGTTTAAGGCGACATGTTGGCAATTAGAACTCCTTTAACATATTTCAAGAACTCTATACACTATGGCATTTGGATTCGACTGCTTATTTTGAGTGACTATAAAGTAATTTGGGGTTTTTAAAGACTGAGAAGCATTTCTCAAGGTTAGCTTTTCCAAACAGAAAATTGAGTGTTATAAATTCCACCTCCCACAGACCAGAATTCACAACCATTGGTCAGGGGCACATACTACTGGCTCGGCATCCTCAGTCACTTCGTGCCATTTCACCAAGTAGGAGCCAAAGGTAAGTTTTTACAATTGCTTTCTTCTTGGGTGAGATACTTTTTTTTCTCCTCTAACAACTTTTTGAGAAATAATTCAACTTGCTTTCATATTTCATGGTGAACTTTGATTCAATGGTTTAGGTTTAAGTTTGTTATTTTACGTTTATATTACTCTTGGAAAACTCAAATTTTTAATTAGCTCAGGAATTAATAACACACAGTAAAATGGTTGATCTTAATAGCCAGGAGAGATGCCAATAAAATTGTAGTAGTTTCCAATATATTCCTTAAATCAAGTGCCCTGACATTGACCATGTTTCTTGTCATTATAGACATGCACTATTGATTAGCATTGATTGAAATATCATGCAAAAGAAGAAGGGGGGAGATTTCATGCATTTAAAAATATATTAATGATTATATGGCAATTATGCATTTAGAATGTCTTTATAAGCTATATATTTTAAAGTTTTATTATAAGCATAATTTTCAGAATATCATGAAATGGTATAAAGTGGGCAACAAGTTCAAAGATACAACATTAAATACTAGTATAGTTACTTGGAGGAAGAAATGTACTTTTTAAACTAAGCATAGGTAGGTGTTCTTCATATTTCTGGGGTTTGCACAGACTGTCTCATTGCTGATAACTTTGAGGGATATGCCCAAAGCAAATAAACTCTAAGAATGTAGACACATACTCACATTTATAGTTTGAAGTGAGAAAAAAATCATCAGCAAGTACATAATTACTTTGAACAATGAAAGTGGCCAGAAATGTAGAAGGAAATGTAAAAAGAAAAGATTTTCTCTAGGTTAGTGGGGTCCACAGTTAATGTTTTCCACTCGACTATGGAAGAATGGTTTGTGGAAAATTTGTAAATCACACTGTTTGATTAAGTAGGACTTTGCTGGTGATTGTGTACAACAGTTCGAAATCTGCAATCCTGCAAAGACCCCTGCAAAGGCAAGTGACATAGAGGCTTGGCTTATCCAGGATGGATAAAAAAATTACTTGAAGAAATCATAGGAGGGAATAAAAAGGAGCTCCTTGTACTGCTTCTTATTCTCAGAGGAATTTCATATGCCTCTGCCTAAATCTGCTTCATAAAGACTTTCTTTCAAGTAACTGAAGGTCAGTTTGTCTGCCAGTGCATTCAAGTTTAAAAGTAATATTTATCATGAATTCCCTTTTATACGTGTGTATAGGTACAAAACACCATAGGCACTGTTCTTGAAGTAAACCTGAGAAGTGTATCCAAAATACAACACCTTTAAAATTAGACATGCTTGATAAGAAAAGTTTTCCAGATTCTTTGCCTCCTCGAAAAATGATTACCAGGTAACATTTTTGATAGGCCCAATTTAGATGTTTAAAATTAAACGTGAGAGGTTTTCTTTTCCCCTAAAACTAGAACGTATTCAAAGGAGTACATACAGAACTAAAATAATTAAAATGGTAAGATCTTGATCGAATCCCCCCACCACGATGTTACCATGGAAAATAAGAATTGTGCTTAACAAAGAATTACGAAACAAAAACTTCTTAATCTTATGTGTGTGGAAATCCTCCTCCAAGAAAATCTTGCCTTATAGTGTCTTTTAGGCATGTATTCTGACTGATTCTGAGTTTAAAGCTTAGACAGCTATGAAGAACTGAAATAAAACACGAAGGACTAAAGGAAAAATCATTTTCTGCCTCATTCGGTTAAGAATAAGTTTTGAAAAATATTGCATGAAATAGTAAATTATACACATATTAAATTATGTATACATCAATGATACCCAGAGGCAACAAGGAAGTAAAAAGAAAAAAAAAAAGAAAACCTTCATTATTTTGTCTGGAAAAAGCCATAGGCTTAAATGTGCAAGAAACACTTATGAGTCCTAGTTAGATCGCTAGTCAACTCTGCCTCGGTTTCCTCATCTGTAAAATGGAGTTACGGTTATAGTCCTCCGCCACCTCCTTCTCCTTCCTACATCCCAGAGTTGATGAAAGAAACTTAATGTTTAGTAAAAGGTAAAACTCTAAGGCAAAGGCTTTCATGAACAAGTGTATCACAATATTTCTGTGTCCCCTTTTTCCCTGTGTTTCTCTATGAAAGAAACTTAATTTCACTGTAATGACTATATCTACTGTAAAAATGTGGACAGGTTTGTGAATTAATTTGAACATCTGCTATGAATAGCCTTCAGAATCTGTATAATTTCATGTGTTATGTTTATAAATGATCCATATAAAGAAAGCTACCAGCTTGAGTTTCACAGTGTCAAACTGTGAATTTATCATTCCTAGTTAGTGGAAACTATTCCTAAGTTATTATCAATTAGATATTTATACATTTAAGTATTTTTTGTTAGGAAAGCTTGAAAAATGAAAATGTTAGCAAGACTCATTCTGGGACTTGTCATCTTTGATGCTGCTGTGACTGCTCCCACTCTGGACCCCATCAATTATGACTCAGAAACTTACGATGCCACTTTGGACGACCTGGATAATTTATACAACTATGAAAACATACCTATTGGTCAAGCTGAGGTAACTGATTCCTGCCTCTCTTGAGACTTTTAAAAGCATGAATATGGGGAGTTATTGAGATTTGCTCTCTTCAAATAGATTTTTGTTTATTTATAAATAGAGATGTTCTAGCTTAATGGTTTCATATGAACCCTTTCTCCACAATCTGTTCAATCTGTTGGAAGTTAACATTGGGACACTCTTTTGCTTTCGCCTGGTTCACTTCATTTTCTTTATATCTTCTCACAAATTAAAACAACAATAACAAAAAAGAGTTTCTTTCAAGTTAGAACAGAGGGCATTAGAGGAGAAGAGTGGAAATAGTACACGTGTGATAATAAAGAAGTTGGGGAAGTTTGGGCAAAGGACAAAGAGGAAAATAAATTTGAATAAAATAAGAATGCAAAGAAAGGGCAGTGATTTGGAACTCCACTGTGTTCCAAGAGTGAGTGTGCTTTTCTAAATGACGGATTATCTCTCAGCTAATGTAGGCATTGGCAAGGTTACAGCCCATTACATAAATCTGATATGACATGTTTCCAATTAAATGTTAGACTTTTTACATAACTAAAGGATACAGACTAATTTTTTAAATCAAAACACAAATAGACCTTGAAATGTTGGAGGGTAATTAATGTACAACATTGACAAAAACTAATTAAGCATAAATCAACCAAAAGGGAAGTTACATCACCTTTACAGGATCATAACATATTTTGGGCAGTCACTCAAGTGTAAGTCTTGTTAGAATAATTACTTTTGGTAACTAGGGAAATAAAATATTTTGACAAAAGCATTTATTTAAATTGTATGGACGTAGCTATATCTTTATTAAGAGGATATGCATTCTCGTTATTGTTTATGTTGCCTTATGAAATTTAATAATCAAATTTTTGCAATGCGATGACTCTTACATCTTCTTCCCCACCCCATTTTCCTTTCCATCCTCCTCTCTTTTGTTTTTACGGTCTTCCCACCCCATTCCTTCTCTGTCTCCCTCTTTCCTTATTTTTAGTAAAGTTTTAGGCTTGACAGAAGACCACTTGTCTTCTGCACATTTGGTTGTGATTGTTTTCCAAGTCTTTATACATTGTTTGATTCATTTTGCTGTATGACTTCTACTATGTTAAGGGAATTTTCTGTAGAGTTTATAGTCATTAACACTAGTCTTGCTATACATGTTCTCTAGATCTCCAATCTAATGCATCAGTTTAGAATATAAGGAGAAACTTTGTCAGTGCTTAACTCCTCTGCTCTGCTCCTTTTCCCATTTTGCATAAATATTTTTAAAAAAAAAAGACTCAGTATGTATCTGCAGTTATCTACCAAGCTAAATATTTTAGTTTTAAATGTACTGTCATTCCTCCAAAAGATATTTCATAGGATCAAAGAGGTTTGATGAGTGTCATCAGTGAATCCTCTGTTGTGAGTAGGCCTGTGGAGTGGGTTCTAGAGACTGCTCAAGGCTGCCCTAGATAAAATTTTGAAGGAGATGAGCTTTATCTGTAGACCTCTTTAAAGCCATTCCTTGATGTCAGAATCCCTTTTTGCTGCACAGACATTCTCAAGAGATTCTGAAGTGATAAATTTATCTCTATAAAGATGGTTTCATATCCAACCGTTCCTCAGTATTTGCTTATTCTGGAAGAGCAACCTTCTTGCAAGGTACCAAATATGTGGCATTGTATCCTGTTACTTCATTCAAATATGCTTAATTTTCACACTGACGTAGGCAAACTCAGCATCCTTAACAACTCTCTCCAGAGAGCCACAAAATAATCTCTTGTTGATGACTGAAATACATAAGTCATCCCTGATTTAATAATCTTTTGCGATGAAGAAAACCAGTTTATAGATAGATGATATACATATACACATATACCTGTGCTATAATGAAAATGTAACACATTTGAAAACAAACTATGCATAATTTTTTAATTTTACCAAGTTGGTCCAGTAGCAAAAACCAATTCACCAATCCACCCACCCACCACCTATGAAAAAACAAAATACAAAAACAATGTAATATAATAAATAAAATGACCTGAGGAATAAAATTCAGAACTTAAGCTCAGATCTTAACAAGTTGTTAATGTAAATTGCTTTAGAAACAAAGAACTAATATTCAATTCCTTATGAGAAGATGTGAAATGAAGCCAATAGATCCAGCCATGCTGCATGGATTCTAGAATGTAGTTACTCATTACCTGAATTTCTTGACTTTAGTCATGGAAATTCAGATTCTGACAACTCCTGATAAGCTTCTTTATCTCATATTTATCAACTAAGAACAGTTGTTCTACATTTTCTTATTCATGTATGACACTTTTTGAGTGAACACACTGGTAACTTACCCATATAAGGTACAGTTGATAAAAAAAAATTCATGGTAAATGAAGCACATGGAGAATGGTAAGATAAGGTTCTTTTCTTTTATGTCTTCAATCCCAAGAGTGTGGTTCTGACTATGTTAGTCTAGAATTTATTTCATTTCTAGAAAAGGCAAGTTTATATTTTAAAATTATAAATTTATAGAATAAACGAGCAATGTTTCTAAAATATATGCCAGTTTCTTTCTTACAAATTTTAAGACTTGCACCTTGGGGGGTGCCTGGGTGGCGCAGTCGGTTAAGCGTCCGACTTCAGCCAGGTCACGATCTCGCGGTCCGTGAGTTCGAGCCCCGCGTCAGGCTCTGGGCTGATGGCTCAGAGCCTGGAGCCTGCTTCCGATTCTGTGTGTCTCCCTCTCTCTCTGCCCCTCCCCCGTTCATGCTGTCTCTCTCTGTCTTAAAAATAAATAAACGTTGAAAAAAAAATGTTTAAAAAAAGACTTCCATCTTGGGCCAATATAATAGACCCTCTAGACTTTGAATGATTTACCCTTAAGGCCTTAGACATATGAGGTAGGCAGAAATCTAAGATGTCCCCTAAGTGACTCCTTCCCTGGTGTGTCCATGCCCTCTATAATTCTCAACATCATAACTGTATTGGGATATCAGGCTTATAATTAGGTTATTTTATATGGCACAACTGAAATTTAAAAAGGGAGATTCTACTGGTTGGCTTGATCTATACTAATGAGTCCTTTAAAACAGTGTCTTGAGGTCAGGGACAAATTTTAAAGCATGAAATGAATTCAAGGAAATGGAAAACTATTTGTTGCTGGCTTTAAAGATGGATGGGTCCACATAGCAAGGAATGCAGGAAGTCTCTAAATTTTGAGAGTGGCTGACAGCCAGAGAGCATAATGGAAACCACAGTCCTATAGATATAAGGAACCCAGAGGTATACCTGAGATCACAGCCCTGGCCATTAGCTTGATTTTAGCCTTGTGAGACCCTGGGCAGATGTCTGGCCATTCCTGGACTTCTGACCATTCCCGGCCATTCCTGGACTTCCAACTCACAGAAACTGTTAGTTAAAAATGGGTATAGATTTAAGCTGCTAAATGTATAGCAATTTGCTTTGCAGCCATAGAAAACTAATACAATATGTAATAATGTAAATTTTTTTCTGAAAACCAAATTTGAATTGTACTGCTGCAAGGCTTGCATTTGTGAATCCAGTGATTTATCTAGCAATGAGCCAAACCACCCCTCCAACCCCAGAGTTAGAATCTCAATAGAGCTTTGTCGATTTCTACTGGTGGTAGTATATTCATTACCTCCCTAGTGAGTGAAAGGGTCATGAAAGAATTTCTAGTTTTGAAAATGACATGCAGGAATAGTATTCCAGACTGCTGACTTAAGTGATTTCTGATGATTTAGAATATTCAGAATCTGCTGGATTCTGTGTTAGAAGCAGATCTTAGGCTCAGCAATTCCATCATAATGCTCTATGTTACCCAGTGGATAATGGATAAACTTGCTGTTATAACATAAATTTTTTTCAGTCTTTTACTTAGCCTTTATTTTAATTTAATGGTACAAGTGAGAATTGGTTACAAGCCGTAAGACAAAAATATGAACTTTTTGCTTTCTGATGAATATTAGCTAACCTTGATTGAGCACTTTTTATGTGCTGAGCACTATTCTAGGCCTGTCACATGCATGATCTCATTACTCACAACAAAACTAGGAAGTGATATTGTTCTTTTCATTGAATACATGAGACTATTGCGATAAAGAGCGGCTAAGTAACTCGATTAAGATCATAGTTGTTAATGACATATAATTATAGTGATATTATCTTCTCGTATCAGAAAATAATTTCCAGCAGGTTAATAAAAAATATATATTATCCTCCCTCCATTTTCTACCATTTTCCAAATTGTCCTTTTAACTTGATACTTGTTTTAGTAGAACTGAATGCTGGTGCTCCAACACTGCTAAAAGCATTTGTTCTATGGGTGAATAATGTAATCTAGAAGTAAATTTTAGAGACAGTTGACTTACCCAACTTGTAAGAAAGAATGGCTTAAGACTAACTACTTCAGGAGCTCCTGTGTGTATCAGTAGGTTGAGCGTCCGACTTCGGCTCAAGTCATGATCTCGTGGTTTGTGAGTTCAAGCCCCACGTCGGACGCTAGCTCGGAGCCTGGAGCCTGCTTCAGATTCTGTGTCTCCCTCTCTCTCTCTGTCCCTCCTCCACTTGTGCTCTGTCTCTCTCTCTCAAAAATGAATAAATGTAAAAAAAAATTAAAATAAAAAAAGACTACTTCAAAGATTAATTGTAGATAGTCATCCTCCAACATAGTATATCTATGCTATGGGGAATTGCCTATAGCTATCTCTCTATGTCTCTATTTCTATCCATCTATCTATCTATCTATCCATCTATCTATCTAACATCTATCTATCCATCCATCCAATGTAGATATAGATACAAATATAAATATAGATAGATATATAAAATCATAAATATTTGGTGGTTTAGACTCCACGGAAACATTTTGTTATTTGCCTTAAAGTTTTCATCAGCACAAAGTTAAAAATTTGATATTCTTTGAGTGATTTAAACTGAGACTGTATTTTTGATTAAGTTAGGTATTTGATGCTTCTGTTTCCATGGTATAGTTTTGG